ACGGACAGACGGACAGACGGACAGACGGACAGACAGACAGACGGACAGGGCCAAATCAACTCAGCTCGTCACCCTGATCAAGAATATATATACTTTGTGGGGTCTGCCACGCCTCCTTCTGCCTGTTACATACATTTCAACAAAACCATTATACCCTGATTTCCCATTTTCAATGGGTTCAGGGTATAAAAAATGAAAAGAGAGAAACTCACACCACAGTGGTGCGAGCGAATCAAGTCAATTTCTTTAGTGCTTTAAGTGAAAAACTATGCAACTAAAGTTTATTAGCTCCAAGCACCTGAAAATCCGCCAAAAAGGGAAAGGAAAGTAAAGGAAAGCCAGGCACAACAACAATAATAATAATAACAACAACAACCGCAATAGGCAAAGAGTTTCTGGTCACGTAAGGCTCATAAAGAATGCTTCAATGGCATCATTTGCAGTGCGCTAGCTTTTTGTTTTATTTCGGTTGAGAACTAGGCTACGCTAATAAGTTGCCTCGTTGTTTATCCTTGGCGTGTGGCGAGTGGCGAAAGGCGGCGAATGGCCCAAATGCAGGCCGTAAATCTTAAAAGTTGGCTTTTTAAAGCCGTTGAATATGTAGAAGCTTGTTGCGTTAACCCTTCAATAAGGCGCAGCGCATTCATTTATCATACGTATGTGTGTACGTTGAGTCTGTGTGTGTGTGTGTGTCTGTCTGTGTGTGTGAGCTWGCGCGCGTGCCTCTCTCGGCGCTTCTCAGCGCTTGGCTGCGGCGCAAGGCAACCTTTTTCATTTGTAATAAAATTCATATGACTTTGGCGCATGTTTAACGTAAAACTGCCCCTCGCAACCCAAAACGGCGGGCATCATTAGGCCTGGGCACGCACATTCCCAAGTCAGCTACGTTTTCGGAGACGTACTGCTCCCCATCTCTACCCGCAACCCACTCCACACTTCTCACTTGGTTGTGACAGAAGAGTGAGAGAGAGGGGGAGTGCGGCGGGCGCCACATGCAAAACGCCATGTGTGACATTTTTACTACCAAACATTTGTTAGCGCACCGTCGACCCTCTGTCTCAGCTGCTCTTCTACTCGCTTCGTCTGTCTTTGGGGCAACTCACAGGCAACACGTACCAGGGCACCGTCATTCGCATACTCTGCTTCAGCCTCATCCACATGCCGCWATGTTGTCGTCGTCGTCGCCTGTCGCTGGTCGTTTTTCTGTTGACTTTGCATAATTTTATTGCTTTTCTTTTATTTTTATGCGCTTTTGGCCCGGCTCGATTCGCCTGCTGTTCCACTTTTACAGCCGTCGTTCTCCGCCTGCCCACCACACTCCAGCGTTGGCTTCCCCTCTTACCTCTAGGCGACATTGACATTATAATCAATATTTTTGTTACTTCACTCAAACATTCTGAGGTTCGCTTGTGCTTTGCTGCTGCTCTTTTATTTCTGCTAGCTTTTGCTTATATTTTCTGTTTGTTGTCCCTGCATGTCATCTGGCCCCCTGGATTGTGTATGTGTAGGTATAATTGACTGACCTTTGGGGTCATCTATACGCCAGCATGAATCGTGTAACTCAGCATTGCTCAGTTATACGTTTTATCAGACAATTATATCATAGGCTATGAGAAATGAATTGAGTTGCTTAGCTTTTAATGGTGGACTGCATATTATCTAATACTGCATTTAGATTAGAGAAAGCTTCAGAATAATGAAAATATATTAATGTTAATTGATTTTCTTACCCAATTGTAATAAAGAATAAACTTTTAGTTTAACTTATATATGCCATCTATTTCTTTTTTAAATGAGTAGATTATTGTATGAAAAACAAATATGTTTTCTTTTTAACATAAAATAATATATACCAAAAAAATATT